TACAATATGGATGTCAAATCGAAGATCATGAAAAGATGATTAATTTGATATATTATATATGTAAAACCGATAAGAAATACAAAAGTTATCAACTTTTAAAATAAATTTATAATTCAATAACTAATTGAAGAAAACAAATCAAAAGTCAGGGATATATTAGTCACTTAGTGTCCAACTATGTAAAAATTACAAAGAGTTAAAGGGTTATATTAGTAAAAATGATATTATAATACCTAAGTTAGCTAAATAATATTTATGGAATGTCCGAACCTAGATATTAATTATTAATATATCAATTTATTTGTCCGAACCTAATTACGAAGCATGATTCTTCGCCAAGTAGGATTCCGGAGCACCAGAAGAAGCCACGTAGGCTCAACGCATTCGGAAATTATATATAGGGGCGATGTTATTAGTAATTTTGAGAGGGCAAACAAGAGTAATTTATTGAAAAAGAAAAAAGCAACAAAATAAGTGGACAAAAAAAAAAAGAAAAAAGAAGTGGACAAATATAAAAAGTCCGTATTCTTTGAATACGTTTTTTAAAAAAAAAAATTATTTAATAAAACGTATTCCTTGAATACGTTTTTATTTAACTGTTTTAGTTAAAAAAACGAAAACAATTTTCAAAATTGTTTTCGTTAAATAAAAAAAGAAAAAAACGTATTTGAGTAATACGTTTTAGGAAAACGTATTCGAGTAATACGTCTTCAAAAAAATTAATTTTCTTTAAAAAAATACATTTAAATAAAACGTATTTAAGGAATACGTTTTATAATTAAATGCACAAAAAATGTATTCCTTAAATACGTTTTATTTAAAATATATTAAAAAAATCTTCTTCTCCATTCATTTTACGCGAGCAGCACAATAGCAACAAAGATCGAAGAGCAAAGAACAGAAAGAGCGAAAATACTTGAGAAAAAAAAAACTCGATCCAATCTTCACCCCCGACGTGAACCGACAACAGCGACACGAGTCTTATTTCCGGTTAATTCATTCGCACGAGGTATATTGGCTTATTCTAACTTTTAATATTTGTTTGGAGTTATTGGAGATTGAGAATTGTTATAATATGTTTGAATGTGTTGGTGCTTGAAGATTGAAATTGATAATTGATTAACGATTATGTGTGTATGTTGAATTGGAGATTGAAATATTTTGTGTAAATTGTCAATTGTGTAATTGTTTGGTTGTTGTTGGGGTTAGGGTTTTTTGAAATTAGGGTTTCAATTTATCGGAATTATAGATGATTTCTATGTTATTTTTCGATAAGGTATTAGGGTTTTGAATGATTAATTGATGGGAATATTTTTTTTTTTTTTTGTTTTTTTAGTTGAAAGTGTATTATATGTTATTGATGGATAATGAGTATTAGGGTTTGTTAAAAGAATTCGTGATTTTATTTTTTAACAGGTGTAAATGGAGTCTACCGGACCATATTTTGTTAACGTGTATTGAAATCATCCCAAAGAGGTTTTAGATTCATTTTCAGATTTTATAAACCGTCTGGATGGTTCATTTAGCATTGGGGAGAAGATATAATTTCAACAACTTAAAGATATACTTTATGAAAATTTTGGATTCCGTCGAGATGGTTGGATGATTGAGGGGATTAGTTTACTTACTAACCGACCCGATGGTTCGTGGAACATTGGAAACTTGAATACTGATAGTGCTTTATAGTGGATATATTATTTTCCTGCTTTCTCCTATGTGTATTTGCATTTAGAGTTGAAGCAGGTTACGCAGGCACCTACAGTGATTACACAGTTTGAGGATGTTTCACATTTTTACAGGGGAGTGCCTGATTTTGAGGGTACGTCCACTTCGCATGTTCGTAATTTTGGCGAAGGGACAAGCTCAACAGTTAGAGAAGAACCCGATGATGATTTCATTCCTGATGAAGACGATTTGACAGATGATACATCGGAAACGGAATCGGATAGATCAATAAACGAGGAGAGTGAAGCAGAGTTTATTGAAGAGCACCCATTTCCTAGTACCGGTCAGCACGTGTATCGCGAGATGGGTGAGTGGGACCCCTCGTGTGTAGACCGGGATGAGTATGCTCTCCCTCGTTGGAATGGAAATGTCGAGACTATCCGTTTGGGTACTGTTTTCCGGTCCAAGGAAGAAGCACAGATTGGTATAATGAATTGGAATGTTAGTAGATTGAGGGAGGTTAGGACAAAAGATTCGAATAAGAAATCATTCAAGGTGGTGTGCAAATCCGCCGAAGCTCAACCTTGTTCCTGGAAGGCTCGGGTGATGCACTGCACACGGGTTCATGATTTGTGGGAAGTAACGGAATGGACCGAGAGGCATAGTTGTATGCAAGGAGCCGACAAAAATGACCACAAAAATGTAACCGCCACAATGATTTCCAATCTTATCATGACCAAGATCCAAATGAAACCCGAGTACAGTGTAACACTGATCCAGGAGGATGTCAAAAAATGTTGGAAAGTCGATGTGAGCTATAAGAAGGCGTGGCACGGGAGAAAAAAAAGCCATCGACAGTTTGTATGGCACTTGGGAAGAGAACTTCGCATAACTCCCTCAGTAAGAAAAAATTTATTAAAAGTGTACGTATTATTTATCTCACTATGTTTATGTATTAACGATTACGTTTTATAATGTGCAGATTTTTTGCAGCGCTTCAAAGAGCGAATCCCGCTACAGTTGTACAGTGGGAATGGCAGGGTGGGGAAATGGCGGCCCACTATGAGCACAGAGAATTCAAATTTATTTTCTGGGCTTTTGGTCCCGCCATTCAGACCTTCCAGAGATGCCCGCCGGTAATTAGCATGGACGGCACGCATTTGCGTGGCTCGTACAAGGGGAAGTTGCTTGTGGCCGTTGCACAGACTGCGAATAAGCGGTTATTGCCAATCGCGTATGCGATTGTGGATGAAGAGAGCAGGGAAAGCTGGTCATTTTTCCTGACAAATCTTCGGCAACATGTTGTCGGCGACAGACATATATGCTTTCTTTCGGACAGGGATGCTGGCTTACAGAGTGCTGTGGATTCATTGGCGGCTTGGCAAGAACCCACTGCATATCACCGGATTTGTCTTCGACGCCTTCGGAGCAACGTGGTTACTAGGTACAGGAATAGCAAAATCCGAAATTGGTGTTGGGAGTTGGGTTCACAGCTTTCAGAGCGAAAATTTCAACAGATACGAGAGCGGATTTCGGATTTTAATCTGGATGCATACAATTACCTGTTTGGAATTCCTCTGAACAAGTGGACCCTGCTTGGAGACGAGGAAGGACGTAGATGGGGTACATTGACGACCAATATGTCCGAGAGTTACAACAACGTCCTGAAAAGGTGTTAGGTTCTTGCCCTGCCGAGCTTTGGTACGCGCCACATTCATGAAAACTCTGGACTTGTTTGAGCAGGAACAAAAGAAGTCCACGAGATGCAGTAATGCCATTGCTAGTGCCCACTATGCCGCTTTTTGCGAATTGGAGAGTACGGCTGCAAATCATAAGGTGAGATGTGCGAACGCGGCAAGATCTATGTACGAGGTGACAACGGGTCTACGGGCGAGTGGTAGAGGGGACAAAACGTATGTGGTTTATTTATTTATTGTATAATTTTATTTTTTTATTTTGGTTCATTAAAATTTTTAGTTGTTTATAAATATAATTAAATGTGTGGAAAAACAGGTGTAAGGTTTGGTACGATGAGAGGCGTTGTCGTTGTCTGAAGTGGCAGACACATAAGAAACCATGCTCTCATGCTATAGCTGTGTGTCGGCAACTTAATATTCCACCGAAGTTATTGTACGATCCCTGCTTTTGGACGGAGAACTGGGTAGCTCAATTTTCTAATTGGAGTTTTGTTTCGATTGGTGATCCAGACACATGGCCGCTGGTCGGATGGACCTTACTACCACATTGGGAGAGGATGATCACGAAGGCTGGACCCAGTCGCGCGCAAACGAGGCGTCATCGCATGCAAATGGATCGTCGGGCATGCCGCCGGAATGATAGAGGACAGTGTAGTAGATGTGGTGATACAGAGCATTTTGTGGATGACTGTCCGTCCTCACATCCTCGCACTGATAGATCTAGACGCCGTGATGAGTGGGGAAACTAGATTTGTTAGTGTGTATTTTTTTATGTGGGACTATTTTTTTTGATTGTTTACTTTGATTTGTTGGACTATGTTTGGATTATATATTTTTGTTATCTTGGACTGTATATGAGTTGGTTTGTTTGTGTTTTTTTTTAGCTGGTTGTTCTGAAATTGTGTAACAGGTGTAAATGGTGGAACAATATTATTTTTTGGTGTAACAGGTAAAAACCTCTCTGTTTGTTTTGTTTGCCTCTGTTCCAGGAAATATATATTTTTTTTTATGTCCCAGGAAACCGTATTCAGAGAATACGGTTTATATAATGAATTAATTGTAAACCATATTCCTGAAATACGGTTTCTGAAAAAAAAGTACGAGGATCCTAGATTAGGGACTCGAACTCGGGTCTGTGGATGAGTCCGGTTTCTCTGGGCGCACCTCGTACCATTGTGCCGCCAGGCACCTTGCATTTATTTC